TTCCTCTGACCTCTATCTTTTTAGCCCTCGATGCTGGCATTTTCAGACATCCCAGGACTCCCACTGGGTTCTGCATGTACTTGTTATACTTCACTAGAGCAATACCTGTACTTTCAGTAGAGTAGTTCCTTATTTGACAAAAACAGACAAAAATATTTTTGCTTTTGGAGCTTTCTGGGTAAGGGCACTGGCTAGAAAAAAGTACAAAATGAAAAACTTGCCAGATAACAAGAATTCGAGACGAGGAAACCTTTTTATGGGAGTCTAAAATCTGTTTTTAAGAAATGTATTTAAAATAGGCTTCATGTTCTCAAGGCATGTCTTAACCCTCGTGTTTGTTAGAAGCAACAGAGTGAATCTCTTACTGGTCAGATGTTCAAATCAAGTTAGCAGTCAGTCTAAGATTGTTGTAGAGCACCTAAATTCAGGAATTTTCATTCAGTCATATTTATTTCAAAATAGCAAACTTTTCAGTACAAATCAAACCTACTTTATAATTGTGCTATGTGTTGAAACAGTTATATACTAAGTTATAACCTTAAGCAGCTAATAAACTTGTACTCATAAGCCCTTTCACTAAAATTACTAAAAAAGAGCTAGAAAATGATCTTTTGAAAAACTTGCTTCAGTTTTTGGAAAGAAGCATTGGCATTACTGCTTCCAAACTTGCAACACATAATTCACCTTCTTAGGTATAATACCTAAATGTGTCATGTAAAAATTTTATTGGTATATTGTATGTCACTATATACATGTGTGTGAAGTGTGTGAACACACACACATAAACTTATCTATGAATATTATTTTGTCCTTTTTGTCTCTACAGTTAGGGAAACTAAGTCAGTGCTGGAATCTGCCAGGCTTTTGAAGTTTACTTTCCAAAATTTCTAATTAACTGAATGGAGCAGTCCATTGTTCTCTTGGCGTATTTGCAATGAGATGCCTTTAGTAGACTGAGGGGAACAGATAAAGTTTCAGAAATAAATCTGTGTTTGATTCTTTTGTTGTGGCCTCACTGGCAAGTCGTCTTGCTGGGAATCTGGAGTGCATGGGCTTGCTGCTGAGTCTCTCTGCCTCCAGGCCAGCAGGGACACTTGTAAGTCCTTTGGGGGGCATCTGTGAGTTTAATGAGCAGGGTGAGAAATGGATTGAAGGTTGTGTTGGCTGTGTCAGAGGTGTCCTGGCTGGTTGGGTAAGGAGGAGGTGACAGTCCTGTGGTGGAGAAAGATCACAGTCCTATGAGCTCTTTATTGTTCCCACCTGTTAGATGGCCATCGTCTTGTTCTATTCATTCATTGTGTTCCTTATTTTTTGTGAACTTGAAGCCTAAATTTCGTAAAATTGTCTAATATTTTTTGTATCCCTCTCAGAGCTTACAGTAAATATCCTATAAATAGTTGGACAATAAGACTCAGAATCTTTGAGTGTGAATCTTTTAGGGTCATAAATTCTGTGAATGTGATTAATGAAAAAAACTGGTTCAAAGGTTTTAGGGTGACTTATCGAGGTCTCTCATTTCTTCCCCTCCTTTCTTTCTCTCCCATTCTTTCATAGGGCCATGGTCCTGTATTGGTTTAAATGAAATATGCTTTGGATTTACACATGGCAACTTCAAAAATAGATCCACATGAACATTTTTGTATGTACAATATATTCTAAGAGTTAGCATATCTCTTCAAAAATAAAGATTATTCCATTTTTATAAGAAGCTTCAACCCATGTATTTGATAAAGTAAAAATATGGCTTGTTGTGAAGGACAGTTTTGCATCCGTTCTGTTTGTGATGCTTATCACAGTACTTATCACAGTGCGTGGAAGAAAGAGGACACCCAGTGGAGACTTGAATTGAATGAATGTGTAAGAGGGAGGGAAGAAGGAAGGGAGGTCAGCTGGGAGGAAGGAAGGGTGGATGAACATGTCTGGTTTTGGCTTTCAAAATACTCTTTCCATGACCAAGGCCATGGAGTTCTTGGGTGGCTGGTGGTCATGGACGTTGGTCTATGCACTGGCCATTGTGAACAGAGCCCCAGCCTGGAGGGCTTCTGGAGGGCGCTTTCCCCCACTTGCTGTCAGGGCTCATCTGCTTTTTGTTCTCTCAACTGTCCTCTTCTAGACTTCAGCAGAGAGAGAAATATGCAAGATTACAGATTGTAATACTGTGCATGCATCTTCCTTTCTCTGTGTCATCAGTGAAAAAAACTATATATATACTTACAAATAGGACAAAGTGTTTTTGTTTTGTTTTGTTTTGTTTTCATTTCTGTTCTCCTTTGGTCCTCTCCTCTCCCCTGTATGTTTTGTATTTCAGTGTTGTGACATCGTGGTGTAGGGTCATCTAGTCTAGCAGGTGTTTCTGGGATGACTTCTTATCTAGGGAGCCCCCTGAGCTTTTCCGTTTTGGGCTCTGCTGATTGCTTTCTCCATTTTTACATCCATTGCACACACATAAATAATGCAGTCCTAGGGTTGAAGTGTTTGTTCAGGCAATGTGTAGTAGTGAAAACATCCAGAAAGACTGGGTTTTTAACAATTACTTTGTATCTGAATCTCTTTGTTCTTCAAATATGAATCCTTGAAGAATTTTTTCACGAACTGCTAAATAAGATAAGGGGGTGGTATCGGCCCAGTGTATGTACTGTATTAAGCGCTTAGTAAATGGTAATTTATAGTCACTTTTTTAAGTTAAAATTTTTGTGGAGATAATTGTGGAGTCAGATGCAGCAGTAAGAAATAATACAAATTCCTGTGTACATAGAACCCAGTTTCCTCCAGTGGTAGCAGTTTGCAAACCGCAAGTATAATATCACAACCAGGATATTAACATGGTTGAAATCTACCCTTTTTCAGATTTCCCATTTTACTTGTGCATGCATGTGTGTGTATTTAGTTCTATACATTTTTTTGCTTTTGTTTTACTATAGTAAAATACAAATAACATAAAATTTATCATCTTAATAATGTTTAAGTATACAGTTCAATGGTATGAAATACCTTCTTAATGTTGTGCAACCATCACCAGCATCCATCTCCAGAACTCTTTTCACCTTGCACAACTGAAACTCTGCCTCTGTAAAATAGTAACTTCCCATTGCCCCTCTCTTCAGCCACTGGCAACTATCATTCTGCTTTCTGTCTCTCTGGATTTGATTGTTCCAGGTAACTCATATATGTGGGGTCATACAGTATTTGCCCTTCTGTGGCTGACTTATTTCACCCATCGTAATGTCCCCCAGGTTTCTCCACGTCATAGCATGTGTTGGAATTTCCTTCCTTTTTAAGACTGAATAATATTTCATTGTATGTATTTACCCCATTTTGCTTACCCATTCATCCATCAATGGATACTTGGTGGTTTCCGTGTTTTAGCTATTGCAAATAAAGCTGCTATGAACTATACAGTTCTATTACCTGAGGAGGTTTGTGCATCCATCACTACAGCAAAAACCTTAAAGGTTCCAGCATCACAAGGATCACTCAACTCGTGTTGTCCTCTAACCACCCTCTCGTCCCTTCTTCCTCCATCCCTAAGCCCTGGCAACCACTAATCTGCCCTCCCTTCAAAAATGTTGACTTTACACAATGCTACATAAATGGAATCATATAGTAGGTAATCTTTGTGATTGGCTTTTTCACTCAGCATAATTCTCTAGAGCTCATCCTATCATCAATAGTTATTTCCTTGGTATTGTGGAGTAGTATTCCATGCTATGGATGTACGACAGTCTTCTTTATTATTTACCATTGAATGCCATCTGGGCTGTTTCCAGGTTTTGGCTACTATGAGTAAAGCTTTTCATTTGTGTACAGACTTTTATAGGAATGAAACTTCATTTCTCCAAGAGTGCAGTTGCTGTTTTTTTTAAAGACTTAGCAAATTTATTTTGCATGAGCCATAGCCTCCTTGGTGATGCAGATATATGTAAATGGAGATGAAAATAATGTCATGTGGACCTTTTTAATAATAGCCATATTAGACAGCTTCAGACAGTCATGTTAAGAACATTGATAACTTCTTACTGCTTCTTTTTTTCTCCTTTAACCTCAATTTCTCTGAAGTGACTCTACAATCTCGAAAATATCGTTCATTCTGAGAACTTCAGAGCATGTTGCCCTTCTTTTTCTGCCTTACTTTTCCCATGATCAAGCAGTTGCTAAAGACCTCTTGATTTTAGCACTGTAGAGATTTTTATGTCATTCTGCTCTTAATTCATATCTCTGCCCTCTGAGTTTCAGTAGCCATGGCATCTTTATATTGCTAATATAGTGTCTTCCCTGAAATCCCTGCCCTAGGAGAGGAGCCTCTGCAACCTGATCACAGCTGACTTTTATAGCTATATGTCCCAATACTCCTCTTCATGGCCATGGCCATGTCCACCTCAGGGCCTTTGCAGATGCCCAGGAAGAAGCCTTACTCTCCTTCCTCATTCATAATCAGCTGTTAGGAGAACTGCAACCTCCTCATAGGAGGTCCTTTTGGTATATGTTATTCTAGTACCCTGTACTTTTCTTTCACAGCACTTATGGTAGTTTTTTCATTTTAGTTGTATAAAACCCAGGGCCCCACATGGTTCAGCATGGTCATCGAATCCCCTCAGAGGAGTTGACCAGAAAATACGTTCTCGTAAAGCAATTTAAATCTCAACATTGTGTATGGTAAATGACTTTAAGCCTCCGTCTTCCAAATATCAGCTCTTAAGAGCTGATGGTATTACCATCCTGGTAATGGTATTACCATGGTATTACCTCCTTACCAGGTGAGTCTTGAGGTAGGATGATGTCTGACCCAGCCCTTCCCATTAACCTCCCTGGAAACTGGATTGGGATCTTTTCTATCTTTGTCATCTTAAAACCTGGAACATTGACTGGCAGATATTAGGTGCTCCATTAATGGTTGTTAGAAACATGATGAATGAATGAACAAACTACATTTATATGTAGGAGACATTTGGTAAAACTCTGACAAAATGAGTGAGTAATATAAATCTTTCTTAATTTTCCAGGTGATTTTTGAAGTGATAACTTCTGGACATCAAGGCTACCTTGTTATTGATGAAGTGAAGGTGTTAGGACATCCGTGCAGTAAGTTGCCTCAACTCTTACACATTTGGGTCCATCATTGGGGGCATATTTATGTTACAGATTAAGAGAAGACACTGAAACCTGGGGAGAAGTTATCCTGCTAAAAGAGTTCCCCACAAGTCTTTAAGTGTTGCTTTGTTAGCCCAGAAGTCCAAAAACATCTATTTCGTATGTCATTCATTGTATGTAACTGAGCGTCTCTAAAATGAAGATTAGGAATGAGGACTAATGGCCTGCTTTGGTATAATCAAACATCCTTGCAATGATCTGTGGATTTCCCTTTTAAATAGAAGCACAGGTTAAACATTGAGAATCTGTGCGTTTTGCTCCTAAATTCAGTGTATTACTGGCATACTTTCAAACAGCAGGACCCCAAACAGGCCTGGGATCTGTGAAATACAAGAAATGTACCTGAACCACTTAGGGACTCCAAAAATGGCATGAAATTCATCTTTTAAAAATTAATACTTTAAAAATTCCAATGGGTGATAAACACACCCCCTTTTTTTTTTTTTTTTTTTTTTTTGCTGTTCAATATGAACAGCTATTAACAGGCTGTCAAATTTGTATCTGAACCATTGTCATTAAATCAAAATAAAATATTGCACATCAGCCAGTCCCATTTCTCCTCTGCCTGTCCTGGGGCCACCACTGGGTGAGCTTGCTGCAACCTCCTCCATCTGTAAGGCTCGTATTCCACAAGCAGGAGAAACAGATGTAGCTGCTTCAAGCAGAAAATCTTTGTATAGAAATGGAATTGGTGGCAAATAGAATCACGGGGAACATTGGTGATCTAGGCTCCAGTAATGGGTGGGAACCAAAAGAGAGACTCTGCAGCCAGAACCATGGTGACTGCTATGCCTGAGGGGCCATCTGTGAGAGCAGGGGTGCTGCAGCCTACTCTCTGGCCACCTGACCCTTGCCACCTGCCAGAACATTTGTCACTGTCTCTGTACCTTTGCCTCCTTGGCCTTAGGCTCAAGACCCCGAGTGGGATTATCAGGGCTGGCAAGCTAGATCATGTGCTCATTCCCTTGCTAGCAGTCGGGGTCATCAAGGAAATCCCACTGTGGCTTTTTTGCCTTCTGTCCTGGGAGTTAGGCCAAGACTTTTACCAAAAAACATACAGTGGGGCATTTCCCAACCCCAGAATAGTGCTTTGAGAGCTGAGCAACCAAAATACTGCAAATGTCTGTGTGTGGGCATGTGTGTACATGCTTGTGTACATGCATGGAGGTATGCTTTTTCACATAATCACTCTGGTTCATAAAAAGTAAGAAAGTAATGTTTGCCTTTTGTAAATTGGAATGAATAGTATCCAACTGTACAAATTACTCTGTATTTTTTTTCTCCACTTAGCGTTATGTTTTTTAGGTAAATCCATGATATTCTATCATATGAATATACTATGCTTTATTTTTCTATTCTTCCACAAACATTTAGTTTTTTTCTCCCAGTTGTTCTTTATGACAAACATGGCTACAGTGAATATCCCTGTGAGTGCCTCTGGGTGCAATGTACAAGAACCTCAGTAGGGTATATTTTTAGAAGCAGAATGGCTGGGATGTAGAAACACTTTTAGTTTTACTAGATGCTGCCAAATTGCTATGAAAAGTGTCTGAACCAGTTTATATTCCCACCAGTGCGCATGGGAGTTTTGTTTTCCCTATATCCTTGCCCAAAATTGATATTGTCAGACTTCAAATCTTTGGCCGTGTGAGGGAGGACAGCCTGCTTTATTTTTAGGGTCCCCGGCATTAAAGAGAGAGACACTGGCTGGTTCAAACATTGCTGGATTTGTGCTGGTGGTCCCTACCCCAATTCCTGAAAAAGTGGTTATACCTGCAATGATGTTAAAGATACGAACATTTGCAGAAGTGTCTCTGCTTTTATTGCCTGGATTGAAGAGATCATGAGCTCATTCTCTGTGGTAGTTACCGAGAGCCCTTTGTGGTCGTTATCTGATGAGCGTATCATGGCACAGTCATCTGATTCCATCCAGAGGGATTTTACTCTCTCTGCGATCTTTATCTGGTGCTCAGAGCTTGCCATAGCACCAAAGTTCAAACACCACAATCATCTTGTTCCTTACTGAGGCAGACATTACTTTTGTAACACATTACATGTGCCTTTCTTCTGTCTGCAAGACTGGTGAATTCAAGAAGAATTTCTCCCCTTTTTTTTCTGGAAAGGCAGGAAAACGAACAATGCTGTACCTAACTGGAACAGCAGGGCAAATTTAGGAAGCGGAATATAATTACCTGAGTTGGAACTTGGCCAAATCCTCAAAGTAATAGCCTTGGGCTTGGAAAAATGCCATGGAATCTTCTAATGTACATAAATGATCCCACCTCAGATTCACCTCTTACCAGGAGGTTAAAGAAAATAGAGGAATGATGCATGCCTGCTATGTGCTGAGTGCTCCCTGTTACCCAGAGCAACCTTCGCCCTGCTGCAGATGCAGTGGATGAGACCAAGTTTGCAGGGGTCCGTCTTTTTCTCTCTCCTGGGTTTGTTCTACATCTGGCCATTGGCCAACAAAATAGCTCCTGATGTGTGGCTCCTCCCATTCCTCAGCATCTGAGTCATTGTCTTCAGTAAGATATAAAGACTTACTTAATGCTTGTCCTTCTATCAGAGCCTCCCAAAATGTGTCTCCTGCAGTTTTGTTCATTCCTTCCAAGCTCAGCTGCCTATAGTCATAGAAATGGTGTTTATGGTCTCTCCTTTGGAGAATACTGGTGCTAATACCTAAATGGCTTTGCAAACTGCTCTTAAGAGACACAGAATTGCAAAACAGGTTCTGTACCAGGGTAATGTATGGTACAACAGCATTTTGAATGGTAAGCTTTAAATGGTTTTGATGATGGGCCTTCTGTAATTATTTTTTCCTGAATCTCTAAGTTTATGGGGAAAACATGCAAATAAAGATTTTAAAGAAAGCAATAGTTTGGTCTTAAAGTGTAAAGCTTTGCAGGTAATATTTTAGGGGATTTCCCAGCAAGATTTCTAAATAATAATCAATTACTTTGAAATCATGATAGTCATTAGATTTAAATCATAAGGGGGCATAAATATTTCATATCTAAAACTCTGCTTTCCAAAGAGATGCAAAACTGCTGAACTTTATTTATTTCACTCTGAAGGCTACTGTTTGGATTTATATAGGTTTATGAGCAGGCATTTCAACATTTTTTTAAAAGTACTTGTTCTGTTAAGAATATACAGTTGCTCATAAAATTGACTTTAGTGACAATAAAATGCAGGATCAGCATGAAATGTGGATATGGCTGTGCAGAATCAGCAGCTCGATGGCTTAAGCCCACGTCTAATGAACACAGATAATTTTTGTATTTGGTATGCACACTCAAAATATATTTTGAGTTTGGTTCAATAATCCTAGTAGGAGAACCTGAAGAAGCATTTTATTAGCTTCATAATGTTGTCTCCTGTTTTTAAGTAGGTTATAAGCTATGCATGTCTGGGTATTTCGGTTATTACCTTGTAGTGCTGGTGTATATTTTTATGTCTTACAAGCCATACAGCATTTTAACAGGTTTATTGAGATATAATTCACATATACAGCTCACCCACTTAAAGTGTACAATTCAGTGTTTTTAGTATATTCACAGAGTTGTGTAACCATCACCACAGTCAACTTTAGAATATTTTCATCACCCCAAAAAGAAACCCTGCACCCACTGTTAGGTCAGTTCTCCATTCCCTTGGCCTCCACCCTCAGCCTTAGGCAATACTTTCTGTCTCTGTAGATTGGCTTGCTTTCTCATAGTTCATTTAAATGGAATCATACAATATGTAGTCTTTTCTGTTTTCTTTCATTTAGCACATTTCATGGTTCATCCAAGTTCTAGAGTGTTTCAATACTTCATTCTTTCTTGAAGCCGAGAAACAGTCCATTGTATGATAATACCGCATGTTCTTTACATGTCCATCAACTGATGAACGTTCAAGTTGTTTCTAATTTGGGACTATTGGGACTAACACTGTGATGAACATTTCTGTGACAGGCTTTTGTGTGGACATTTGTTTTCAATAATTTTGGATATATACTTAGGAGGAGGATTGCTGGGTCACAGAATAACTCTATGTTTAGCATTTTGGGTAACAGTGAAATTGTTTATCAAATTGGCTGGACCATTTTACATTCTGAGGAGCAGTGGACTCTTGCCAATATTTGTCATTTGTCCTTTTTTTTCTTTTCTTTTTTTACCTCAGTGGCTTTGGAGTGGTATTTCTTTGTGGTTTTGATTCCCTAATGGCTAATTATGTTAAGCATCTTTTTCTCTATTGGCCATTTATATACCTTTTGAAAGAAATGACTATTTAGATTTTTTCCCCATTTCTAATTGAGTTATTTATTTTTCCTCAGTTTTATTGAGAAATAATTGGCATACATCACTGTAAAATTTAAGGTATCAGCATGGTGGTTTAATATACATATATTGTGAAATGATTACCACAATAAGTTCAGCTAGCAACCATCTTCTCATTATAGATACAAAAAAGAAAAGGAAAGAAAGAAAAGGAAAACAAATGTTCTCCTTGTGATGAGAACTCATAGGATTTAGGAATTACTCTTGGTATATATACCAAGGTATACTCTATGGTATATATCACACAGCGGGGATAGCGGTAGTCATCATGTTGTATGTTACATTCCTAGTATTTATTTATAACTGGAAGTTTGTTCCTATTTACCACCTTCCTCCCTTTCCCCTCCCTGCGACTTCCCCCAGTGACTACAAGTCTGATATCTGAGTTTGTTTTTTTATTTGTTTGTTTCGTTTCAGATTCCATATGTAAATGAAATCATACCGTATTTGTCTTTCTCTGTCTGATTTATTTCACTTAGCGTAGTGCCCTGAGGTCCATCCATGTTGTCACAAATGATATAATTTCCTTGTTTTTTATGACTGAATAATATTCCATTGTATATATATCCCACAGCTTCTTTATCCACTCATCAACTGATAGAAACT